GCAATAGGTAAGTTTTAAGATTTTGACAATCTCAACCCGGATTTGGCTGGTGGATTTAGTCTTTATCTGTTGCAGTACCTTAAAATGACGTCACGCGGCCAAAGGGGCAAAATCGTAATGGCCTATAACTTAATAAAAAAAATGCCAAAAAAAAAACGAGTTTAAAGTTGATTCTATTGCCAATGACATATCAAAAATCCCCTCTTGCCAATGCCCAAATTACCTGGTATTTGCAATTTAATTACAGTTTTTATATAGGCCTATATAATGTAGCCTATGTAGGTCTATATAATAATAATAATAATAATAATAATAATAATAATAATAATAATAATAATAATAATAATAATAATAATAATAATAACAAATATTTATATATTTATCAAAGGCGCTAGGTGATTGAAATAAAGCAAGTTAACGTTCCAGCAATAGGTAAGTTTTAAGATTTTTGTTAAAAGAAAGCAAATAAGACGAATCGCGAACAAAAAGCGGCAAGGAATTCCGTATGAAGAAAAAGCACGTTCACCATAAGTTTTTGATTTTGATTGCCTTTACGAGACAGAACTGTTAAGAGATTTTGAGATAAAGAACGAAAATGACGAAGAGGAATGCGGTATATTGGGAAGGTGACTGAGTAAATAAACAAGTTGATGAAAGCTAAGTGACTTAAAAGTCAACAAAAGTAACTTGAAAATAGCACGTTGTTTTATATTGAGCCAGTGTAAATTTTTAAATATGGGTTTAATATGCTGATGATGGCGAGGTGTTAGGAAAACAATAATTGTGACATCAGGTAAACAAATATATAAAGAATTACAGTAATCTAATTTAGATGAAACAAAGGCGTGAACAAGAGTGTTTCGGCAGATTTGGGTGAGAGAAACGTAGTACCCATAGATTACGAATACAAAAGAAAGAAGATTTACAAACTGCTGAAATGTGAGGAACAAAAGTAAGGCATTCGTCAAGGAAAACACCAAGACTTCAAATGGATGAAACTGAATTGATGATGTTATTATTTATACAAAGAGATGGAAATTACGGCTTTGGTTTGAATTTAGAACGAAAAACAATGAATTCAGTTTTACATTGGTTGAATTCAGCATGTTGTTTGTCATCAATTTCTGAACGGCAATTATACAATTTTGAAGATTTTCAACTGAAATAGAGTTTGATTGGTTAAATGGAACGAAAATCTACATGTCGTCAGCATAAAAATGAAACTTAACTCCGAGATTGCAAGATATTCGCCACATGTGTAATGTAAAGAACGAATAGAAGAGGTCCAAGCACACTTCCTTGCGGTACACCATAGCGCAAAGAAGTGTGTTTGGAAGCAGTCACCCTCAAGGATACCAACTTTCTGGAAACGGGAAGAAACATAAGATGAAAACCGCGGAGAACAACATCATTAAAACCAAATTGAAATGATAGCCTGTGGATAAGAATAGAATGGCCAATAGTGTCAAATGCGGAAGACAAGTGTAGTTGAACAAAAGCAACAGCTTTTCCAAATCAATAAAAGAAAGAATGTAATAAGTAGGCCTATACAATTTAAGGCAGATTCAGTGGAGTGGCAAGGTTTATAAGCAGATTGAAATGATTCATGAAGAATATTTTGGTTGAAATAGTCAGAAACTTAAGAGGCCTGTCTCTTATACCCATCT